GAGAAAGGGGAACCCTCCTACACTGCTGATGGGAATGTAAGTTAGTTCAACCATTATGGAAAGCAATATGGAAGTTCCTCAAAAAACTAAAAATAGAAATACCTTTTGACCTGGGAATCCCACTCCTTGGAATTTTCCCAAAGAATACAACTTCTCAGATTCAAAAAGACACATGCACCTCTATGTTTACTGCGGCACTTTTTACAATAGCCAAGATATGGAAGCAACCTCAGTGTCCATCAGTAGATGAATGGATAAAGAAGAGGTGGTACATATACACAATGGAACATTATTCAGCCATAAGAAAGAAACAAATCCTACCATTTGCAACAACGTGGATGGAGCTGGAGGATATTGTGCTCAATGAAATAAGCCGGGTGGAGAAAGACAAGTGCCAAATGATTTCCCTCATTGTGGAGTATAACAACGAAGCAGAAGTAAAGGAACAAACAGCAGCAGACTCAGAGACTCCAAGAAGGAACTAGTAGTTATCAAAAGGGAGGGGTGTGGGAGGGTGGGTGGGGAGGGAGGGAGATTGAGGGATATTATGTTTAGTACACATGGTGTGGGGGATCATGGGGAAAACAATGCAGCACAGTGAAGACAAGTAGTGAATCTATGGCATCTTACTATACTGATGGACAGTGACTGCAATGGGGTATTGCAGGGACTTGATAATATGGGTAAATGTAGTAATCACATTGTTTTTTCATGTGAAACCTTCAAAAAAGCGTATATTGATAATACCTTAATAAAAAATTAAAAACAAATTGGCATGCTAAGTTAATCCTAATTAACTCTAAAAAAAACATTTTAATGGATTATTTTTAACTTCAACAATTTTCTTTTTAGAAATAATTTCTTATATTTGTTTAAGATTTTCTAGTTAACAAAGCTCTAACCCACCCATCTATTTACTTGATGCAGTAAAAATCTAATACAATCTAATAAGGTAAGAAGAGATGCTAATCTTGCCAACATAACTACTAACATGAGAAGATACAGTTCATACATCACAAGCTTTTAATGTCCCATAAGTAGCTTTATAAACTTTTAAAATGAATACACAGATGATCAAAACTTAGTTTTGGACATATAAAGTATGAATGGTCTCTACAGTTTTCAGAGTATAAATCTATGTCTTTTCTACAACACAGAAAAAACTCAAAATATTAGATTTACTATGAAGTCATATTGCAACTTTATTTTAAAGTACAATCCTTTATTTTACTTATGAAAAGACAAAATATAAATGTTTTTTAAAATTCAATAGAGTTTATTTCAAAACAAAACTGTTTCCTCAATATTCTGAGTATATGCATAATATTTGGAGTAACTTTGCAAAGCTACTGGAAGATTTAAATGGTTAAATGAAATAGTTTCATCACAAAAGCAAAATGATTAACATTAATAAAGTATTTTTTAAAAAGTGGTATTTTGCTGTGTCACGAGTACTTAAGTAGTGATAAGGGAAGACAGAGTGCAGGATAAAGGCACCTGAAAGGTAGAAGTACAGAAGAAAAGGTGCTAGAAGTCAGCACAGCTGTCTTTAATTCCTTTTGAATCTCACCCTTGCCAACATTCTATCACTTTTTTGAATCATATGAAAATAGCAGCCTGTGTACTTTCCAACTTTATCTGTTCTGACTAATTACAATTGCTCCTTACCTAATGTCTGGGCTGGTTATGGTCTGAGGCATCTAGAAACTCAATGATTGTGGGAAAACCCTAAGACTAAACTTACATTATTGGATAGAAGCTGGGCATGGGGTGTTTTATAAGCTACAATGGCTATCAGTGTTGAAGGCCAAACTAGAGTTAACACTCAGAAATTAATCTGATCACTTTGTAGACTAAAAACTCCACCTCTCTTTTCTTAAAAATACCTTCAGGAGGAAGAACCTGACCTGTTCACTTAAGCAATCCCTTTACACTATGCCCAGCTCCCCACCAGCCACAATAAAATAAACAACCAAAACCCAACCAGTGAATATTAAAAGAGCTTTAAAGAGAAAGGATATTGTCTTGCCAATGGGCTTCAGTCCCTGGTAAGGTCACTATGGATTCAGTGTGACCAAAGAAATGATGGTAAAACGTTTCTTTGGGGTGGAAAGGTTTATTACTGGCTTGTTCTCCCAGTGGTAGGTCGAGCACTAACATCTCTGCCTCCACCCAGAGCACTGGGCCGACCTCTCTATATAGCGCAATAATAGCTTATTGCCTACAGGTGTGGAAGTTGTAGCCTGGCAACAGGCCAGTTACATCACCAGGTGGTTTAAGTTCAGTGAGGATACTGGCCACAGGAACCCCAACTTCCCCACACTAGGAAAAAGATAATTGGCAAAGTCGGCAGGGTTCATTGTTGACCAGAGAAAAAGACAGCCTGCCCTTATGGGAGGGATGCTTCAGCACACTGCCCCTATGAATGGGAAGACAGTGGACTGTCCCCCAATGGGTATGTGGTCTGAGGTGGCCTGCCTCCTAGAGGGCTGGGCCCCACCCCAGGACTGGAGGCAAGTCGAGGTGATACCTGAGGCAGTAGGGGTGGCCCTTGGTATAGTAAGTAGGTCTTTTGAGAGACAGAGTGCCCATGAGGCAGTGGGGACTGTGGGTTGGCTGCCTCACACAGTATTAAAAAAGTTACAGAAGAGGACACGCTCCTGAAAAAGACCCAAGAAATGGCGGTATGAGAATGCGAGCTGCGAACTCCTGTGGATTCAGTGAAGAAGGAAATGGCATTGATGCAAGAGGAGGCAGCATGAGAATGCCGGCAATGAGGTGCTGTTGAAGAGGTAAAAGATTCCTTACAGAACGAGATGCAGCACTGCCAGGTGCTCTGAAGGAGGAAAAGGCCATCAAGGAAAAAGACCAACTCCTGAGAGAAGCACAGACGGAGGCAGCACGAGAACGCCAGCTGCGAAGCATGGTAGAAAAGGTAAAGGTTGTAGCAGAGGAGACACTCAGTGGAGGGGAGAGGAAGATGCCATCAGCCCCGGAAATGGAGGAGCTGGGGAAGGATGAAGGGGTGGTTCCAAAGGCACTGACACTTCCTCTATTGAAAGCATGCCCAGGGGTTGTAAAGAAAATAAAGACCCTGCAGCTGAGAGATCCCCAAGGAGAGGAGCAGCCCCCTCCCTAGGTGGTGGAGCACTCTATGGTTCACCCCTATACTCAGGCTGAGCTGGTGGATTTGAGCTCCCAGTTTAGGCAGAAGCCCTTGGAGTATCAGCTTGGCTTCTGTGTCTGTGGGACTTAGGGGTGGATGGAACTGTTCTGTTGGGATCAGAGATGGGAAAGCTGGCTTCTCTGACAGTGCAGCCCGCCTTGAGGCAGCAGTTACAAAATGCACATCAGACCCCAGGGAGTCACTCCCTCCTCAATTGGCTTATGGCTGCACTTTGTGCTGTGTGGCCCAATCAGGGTGATCCAGCATCCTCTCCTGTTAGATGGTACATGTATGCTGAGCTCCAACAGGTGTTACGAGAGCTAGGCATAAGAAATGCCATCTATACTCCAGAGAATAATGGCCCAGATGAAGAGATTTTCACTAGTGGGATGAGAAATACTGTGTTTCAATTGGCTCCAACATCCCTCTTTGGGTCTCTAGTGGCCAATCTTTCCCCTCACTTAGGGCATCCCATAAGCGAGGAGACACGTACAGTAGCTGACTTAGGAGAGGCTATGGCAAAGAGAACACAGAAAGAATTAAGTCTGCTATTCACAAGAAGAATTTAAAGGGCCCCATGAAGGTTATGAGGACCCAGATGTGGGTTGATTTAATACGGGCAGGAACAGATGGAAGGAAATTAGATGGGAAGTCAAATAGGATCTTACTGGAGCTATGGCAACAACTGAAACCAGAGCAGCAGTTCCAGCCATTAAGACCAAAGAGGTAGGGGTCAGAGACAGAGCCACAAGTCCAGCCTGTGTGTTTGTAAGACTTCCTGCTGGAGAGGGAACTAACCTCACTCAAGAAGAATCACTGAAGCGAAGGTTTGACCACCAGAATATCTTGCTACCAGCACCAATTGCACTGAACTTCAGACTCCATTGAGTGGACATGGCCTTGGACCTTTCGACACAAGGACCAGTGATGGCCTGGAAGCTGTCCTCCTGTGTATTCCTGGAATAACAGCAGAGTGACCCCCAAAGGTCATAGTAGTATATCCTGAACAGCCAGGAGGTAGAAGCATCTTACCTGAGAGTTTTGTTTTGTCATTATGGCCAGTACATGTACCTCCAGTAGCACTATATAGACCCTCCAGTAACTCCCCTCCCATGGAGAAAGGAATAAAAGTATGGTATACTAGACCTGGATGGGGCCCCCTTCCTGCTACCGTCCTATCACAGGACCACTCTCTTGCATGCATCCTACCTGATGGACAAGATCTGCCTATGTTGGTGTCATTAAAACATGTGTCTTATCACCCCTAAGGTCTTTGTGGATTAGGAACCTCCTCTGGCTTGAGGATTATTATAATTTTTGTTACCTGTATCAAAATCATTGTATCTTAATTTTTGTTATTATCTCTAAGTTGTTGTTATCCCCTGTTGCTGTTGTGGAATATGGTTACAGTGCTCCAGCTTTCTTGCACAGGGACCATTGCAGAAGATTGAGGGCATGTATATTGAAGGGGTGGGGTGTGGGGAAGTTGGGGTTCCTGTGGCCAGGATCCTCACTGAACTTAAACCACCTGATGATGTAACTGGTCTGTTGCTAGGCTACCACTTCCACACCTGTAGGCAATAAGCTATTATTGCGCTATATAGAGAGCTTGGCCCAGTGCTCTGGGTGGGGGCAGAGACAATAGTGCTTGACCTACCACTGGGAGAACAAGCTGGGTAATAAACCATTTCACCCCAAAGAAACATTCTACTGTCATTTCTTTGGTCACACTGAATCCATAGTGACCTTGCCAGGGGCTGAAACCCGTTGGCAAGACACATATTCAGATTGAGTTAAGAGTACAAGGAAAAATATTCAATGTTAGGTTTCTTACCTAAAGTAAGTAGCAATGCAGAGAATTACCACCAACATAGGATAATATATATAGAATCCATCTGCAATAAAGGACAAAACTTTCATGGAACCCATGATCTGAAGAGCAAGAAAAATGTGTTAAATCAGTACAGTTCTATATTTTCCATCATTAGAAAATAAGCCATAACCAATTAATAAATTTGGACTTAGAAATAAAGCACTAAATGGAGTAATGTTTAAGTTCCCCAACACAAGATGAAAAAATTTTAACTAAGTCAGGCGATGGATGTCAACTAACTTATTGTGGTAATCATTTTACAATATATACATATATCAAATCATTATGTTTTACACCTTAAACTAATATAACTATATATGCCAATTATATTTTATTGCCAAGAAGAAATGCTAAGAATACACATTTCTGGGAAGTGCTTGGCCTGGGTTATCTACAACAAAGACCTGATTTGTGGTCTGTAGGGTGAACACCATACATCTGCTTTACATCTGAATAGTTCTTTGAAACTACCCTGTGTCTAGGTAATGATCAAAGAAATATACCTACCATCAATTCTGTATATATTAATCTGTAGAATGTAGCTATTGACATCATGACTTACGTCCTTTGTTAGAAAGCATATATAACCTTGTAAGACAGCTCTCCTATCCGGAGCACTTTTCTTCTTCAGAAGAACTGTGTTCTCTGGGCAGCTGTCCTAAACCTGGGCTCAAATAAAACCCTAATAATTCCTTTGTGGAGTTTTTACTGTAGAATTTTTTTTTGTCAACCATTTGAAGACTATAACTATAGAAGCTAATATTATAGTTCAGGTCTACTGATATTGCAAAGGTGGACAACCTATGTAAACCAAAAAACTTTTTTTTAATAAAGGGGAGACAAATCATTTTCATTCAGTCAGTAATTACATATGTAACCTTTAAAAGTTGGTTCAATATTTAAAAGAAGATCTGTTATTAACACTAAAGAATGTTTCTGCCAACATTAAAAGAAATTTCACAATAACACCTCATTTAGATAATGAATTGAAAAAACTGTTTTCTGATCATACTTACAGACGTATAAGCAGTTGGCTGTGTATTCTGGTGAGAGATGGACGAATCCATATGAGTCAAACCCAAGAAATTAAGACATAAAGGAGGAGTCAAACGGCAAAATAACCTGTAATAAGCATTTATAAACATAATATACAAGAAATAAAGCAGCAAAATACATTTTATATTACATTAAACTATATTAAGAACATTTCAAATCATTATAACTATTATTTTACTCTATTTGTATTATATATATTTTGAATTCTTAAAGTTAACTTCCCTTACTTACTTGAGAGATATTCTAAAAATTCTTTTAGTCACAGTCCCCTAAAACATTAGCACCTACATGGCAAAACTCCAACCTCAGGAAGCCTGCTTTGGTGGTGTCTGCCACTGCTTTATCCTAAGAATTTGTGGAGTGCCTTTGTATGTGTCTTTTTCAAGCCTACCACCTGTGCAATGTCTTAGTATGACAAGGACAGTAATATCCTAAAGGTAAATTATACTCAGTATGTAAAAGATCTGAAGTCATATGAAAGTATGTCACTCAGACAAGTACAGGTATGAAGAACTGTCAAAACTCAGTTTTGTCCAAATCAAAAGAGAGTTTTATAGAACTAGAGTTGGAGAATAGGGAAAGAGGAAATTAAAGGGACAGTGTGAATACAAAGAGGTAATGAGAGGAGTTCTTCTGCATTGATAGAACAGTTCTGTCTTGCTTGTGGTGGTGGTTATAGGAATACACACACACACACACTCACAAACGAACTGAGGATAAAAGTGTTGAGAACGCAGTCTAATTAACAGTAATGTATCAATGTAAATTTCCTATTTTTGATACTGTACAATTGCTATATGAAGTCTCCATTCAGGGAAGCTAGGTAAAGGTTAATAGCACTCTTTGTACTGTATTTGCAACTTCCTGTGAGTCTATAATCATTTTGGGGGAAAAAAGGTTAAAAAAGGAAGTCTTACAGATGCCTCAGATACTGATTCCTCTGTGAACTTCCCTAAGTCCAGCTTTCATAAATACTTAATATGACTGCTTTAACAATAAGGACAAATAGCATACCTAGTCCAAGCTGGAGCCATCCCTCTAAACTCTTGCTAAATCTCCTAGCAAAAATTATTCCTATTGGTTTTCTTAAGTCTTCCACAATTCAGTTTGAGGCCACTGAATCTCAGAACACTCTCTGACTTAGTCTCTAAACTCTCAAATGTTCCTATTATTTACTTGCCTACTTATTGAATCTCTAATTGGTAAATCCCTAAGGCTATGTCTCTTTTCCTTCCTAACCTAGCATACATACTTTAACCTTAAATTTCAAGCGGGATTTACAATCCACAAACATCTAATTAACACTTAAACCTAATCAATTAACTCATAGATATACCAGTGTTAGTGGAACACCCATAAACAGCAAAAAATAAAAGATCAGAATACATACAATAGAGAAACTTCTCATTTCTAAATATATTTCTACTTACATGCCACTGAAAAGAAGGCTGTAAGCATCAGTCTGGTGATGTGAAGCCAAGTAATAATAGTTAAATACACGAATCCTGAACACAGTGGAATAAACACAGATACTTAGAAAGAAGATGGAAAGGAAGCAAGCGATCTGAAAGAAAAAAAAACAAAAGACAATAATCCAAAACTAGTTTAAGACAAATGGACTTAAGACTAACAGACTTCTATACTTTATACACTGTCACAAATTTATCCTTTACTTCCAACTAACATTTATTGACATTCTTAAACTTAAGCACAGTAACAGCTTTTTTTAACCACCTAAGAATATGAGTTAAAAAATCTACATCCCAACAACTTCTATATCCTATCTGTAAGTTAATCTACCTCTTGAATGAGTCTGCTGTCCCATTCCCCTGGAAATTCTTCATGTGAAGACTGTAAGTTATATAGCTTCACTGTCATAAACAGGATAAAAGTATTCTCATAAAAGAGCTTTGCACTATCATGCACCTATTCATCTCTCCTCACAGTCCTCAGTTTTTATAGTCTGGGTAAATTAATGAAGCTCATTTTTGGAAGTCTGAAAATATTGCGGGAAACTTCATTTTTTTCATTAATACCAGAAGAAATGTATGGAAAAGATACCACAGGTAAGGATTATACTATGAACTGACACATATTTATGAGTCATAAAATAAACCGACCTCGATGTAAATGTAATTGTATGTTTTTTCGGCCAGCTGTATGAATACTGCAAAGAGGGATAAGACAGGTGTAGTGCTGAAGAATGTGCACTCTGACCACACAACAATCACAGAGAAGATGGACAAAACCACAGCTAGTATCCTGTAAAACCATGGTCGCAAAAGACATTCCCAGTACCACTCTGGAAGATAAGAGGAAAAAAAGGATTAGGAAAACCATAAAGGAACAACAGGGTATTTACAATGTTTCAAAAAATATCTCCATACAAGATACATAATTGTAAAGACAAAAGTAAGAATTTTACAATGGAGACACCAGGTAAACCATCCTAACCAAAGATCACCAGTAATAGGACAAACTGATATCATGTGCCTCCTGCTGTGAGGCACTGAGAACATGACCTCACTGCTACAGTATTCCTGCCAAAAATGCATACCTGCATCCATCTTGAGAAACCATCAAACTCAACTTCAGGGACACTCAATAAAAAAATATCTATAGTCTCCAAAAACATCAATGTTATAAAACACAAATAGAGACTGAGATATCATTCTTTAGGAAAGAAGACTAAGAAGCCATGACAAATGAATGCAATGCATGATCTGGAAGTTTTTACAAATATTATTGGAATGATTAGCAAAATCTGATTAAGGTCTGTAGAAGATAGTACTGTACTGATGTTAATTTCCTGATTTTGACCAATATATTTGGTTATGTAAGAAAATGTCTCTAAAATATACATGGAAACATTTAGGAGCAAAGAGACATCATGTTTGGATTCAACTTTGAAAAGATTAAGGAAAATTATATATACAGACAGAAAGATAAAGCAAACGAAAAATGATAAAATATTAACACTTGGAGAATATAGTGAGTATATGAGAATTCTTTGTACTATTCTGGCAACTTTTGTTAAGTCTGACTTTAGGTAAAAATAAAAGTTAAAAAAAAGAAAGGTCTCAAAATTGAAAAGGCAATATTTTCACTTCATTATTTGAATGGTTGATTTCTTAGTTCACTCTAAATCTTTTCAACCCTACTCTCGGCATAATTGCTGGTGATTTCAATAGCCACTTCAAGCTCTATCTTTCAATATTCAGTCTTTCACTCTGAAGTCATCTCATCCAGTGATCTTGTCTTCTACCCTATCTGAACAACTCATTCCCTCAGTCATTCCTAAATTTTTGTCAATTACACCTTCCGTATAATCTCATCACAGCATCCCTGTTTCCAAGAAATACCTTCATCTAGTGTTCTACTTCATTGACTCTACCTGCACCAACAACCCATTTATTCTACCACCTTTATAATTTATAGATTAAATTCTATTATAATCAGCTTCATATTACCACATGATGTAAGTCAAATAATATAAATACAATTCAACTCAGCATTGGTGAAAATATACTTTTTTCCTTCAGGAAAATTAAACTTTGAGATTTGTATCAAATTACATACCAAATGTAGGATTATAAAAATATTGGACAAATCTACTTTCTAGCTCTGGTGACTGAAAGGTGTGAACAAACTGACGAGTAGCACTAGTTTCATTTTTTGCTACATCTTCTAGATAAAATGCTTGTTCTAAAAGAATCTGCCATTGAACTTGAGTTCGACGGTGTCTCTGAACTGAATAAATCACCTAAAAAAAGAGAAAAAGGGTATACCTGTCAGCATTCTGATCCAACAGTGGTTCAACTCCCTACTAGGGAGCATACTTTGGTTGCCACAAAAATGAGGAAGTGCTAGTGGCATTTACTGACTGGAGGCCAAGGATGTTAATTTTCTATAATACATGTAACAGCCTCAGTGAATAATCCTCCCTCCCAAAACTCCAGTAGTACATCAACAGTACCGTGTTAAGAAACACAAAATTAAGACACCTCAAATAATAATGATAAAGACAGGATCAAATACATGTCCACTCAAATTCCTTTTTTGTAGGCAGTAATTGTAAATCTAACTAAAATCATTAGTAAAATAGCTATAATTAATAAAGTTACCTGTTTATGTAGTTTTACCAGACTCTTTTCACTTGGGTAAGTATTATGCTTTTCATCAAAATCTTCATAATCATCCATGTTCCTACCCATTTTTTCCTGATATTCTGTAGGGCACTAGAAGTAACAGGTAGATTTTTAAAACCTTATTTGCAAAGAGACAAATTTTATTTTTATTAAAATCTTTTCCATTCTTGGGCATTTCTAATTTTGTCAAAAATATTTTCTTCCTTTTCTGGCATCTCTTAATAGCTGGATTTTTAGTTACTAACATTTTCTTGAAAAAGAGGTATTGATGTCTTCTTACCTCTATTAACATTTATGCTCTGATATACTACCTGGGAATGGGTAGGGCAAGGGAAACCTACATGAAGCAACTAGTATTTGAGAGGATTATTCCATGCAGACACCTGAAAAACACTGTCAATTATTTTCCTAGCTAAATAATGAAGAAAAATCACAACAAATCCAAGATGTTGCATTTTTGAAAGGCATAGTATGAGAAACTAATTCATGATTTGGAGTCATCTGCCTTATCAGTCATTTATTACCTATATGAACTTGGGCAAGTTGGTAACATTCATGCATAGGTCTCAAAAGGTAGCAAATGTAAGATAAATTATTAAAGAATTGATTATCTTGGCTATCGTCTTAGCCAAAAAGAACACTAGCTAATAATCAGCATAATAAGTTCAAAATCTAGAAAAAGAAATATTTCCGTGGTTCTGTGGTTGCATAGAAGACAACTGGGGAACTCATTTTTGGAAGTATATGAATACCCCTATTTTAATACCAATGTATGAAAACCTTAATTATATGGTTTCTTATTTAGTATCTGTGTTAAACATCTCATAATGGCATTCATTTTATGATATATGAAATATAGAATGACATGTAGGAGCTGTCAGAAAGAGATTGAGGCCCTGGTTTATATTCTTATGAGAGACAAGTTCTCTGTGACCACATTCAATGACACATTTTCTTTTTTTCTAATTTAATTTTTTTATTGGAATATAGTTGATATATAATATTATACTGGTTTCAGATGTACAACATACTGACTTGGTAATTATATACATTACTTGATGTTCACCCCAATAGGTGTAGCTACTCTATTACCATACCAAGATATTAAAATATTATTGGTTATATTCTCTATGTTGTACTTTCATTACAATGACTAACTTATTCTACAATTTGCAGTTTGTACCTCTGTTAGAAACTGTAAAGGTCTATCTCCATTGCTGTATCATGGCAATCATTATACATAACATAACCTCCATATCCATATTTTAATGTAAAATACTGGCAATAATTAATGTTAAACTTGTAATAACAAAAGAAGACCTCAGTTATAGGCTATTGTCATACTTTTCTGTTGCTTTTCTATTATATAAATTTATATTTCAAAAGAAAATAGATAAGAATATTATTAATTACCTTTTTAAGTATTGTATCAACACATTTTCTCAATGGGTGGTTATACTTGATGCTTTCATTCACTTTACGAACCTCCTATAGAAACATTAAGAAAAATAAAAAAGATTTCCATTTCTATACATATGTTTCAAATGAGAATGCTCTAGGTACTCTACTCTCACAAGTTTCATTTCAACCCAAATTACCTAGCACATACATGAAGTTCCATTCACTGAATAAAAGGTCTGAAGAACACAAGTAAAAACACAAGTTATAGAATAGCTATGTCTATACCTTCAAACTTTTTATTACCTTCTAAATTTACTCCCTTATCATTTGCTTACTTGGTACAGAAAAATGAATAAGCATTATAAAAAAGTCCCAATTGATCAGAAAAACTTTGTGATTCTCAAAGAACAGGATTGTGTTCCTCCACCTTGCTCATCAAGTTTAATTATCTCATTATCTAAAATACAGTGAAGAAATCAGAGGAAGCAAAACAGGCCACAAATGTCACAAAGCACCTACTCTTTTCCCATGGCAGAATAATCCACAGAAGTCACAACTAACGATTCAATCCACATCTGTTTAATACCAGGTGCCAGCACTGTGCTAGGTTTAAGGTCACTTCAACCCATACTTGAGAGTAGAGTGGGAAGACAGGGTGTTACAGATCTTTGATAAGATTACAGTCTGGCGATGAGATTATTAAATAAGATTATTAAATTTAACAAGTATGAAGGGCATAATGGGATTAGGGAGGGGAATCCTTGGAACAAGTAGTTCCCAAACAATCACAATATTCTATAATACTAATGAAATTTTGAGTAAGTTGGAACCACTGGTCTAGGCATAACAAACAGCATGCTCAAAGGCTGGGAAGCAAGAGAGAAAACAAACTGACCAGGGTATTAAAAAGAACATCTTATTGTAGAAAATGGTCTTAAGGAATACAAAAATGGAGGCAAGAAAACCAACTGGCTTATACACAAAGTTATGGAAAACCATTTATCATTTATATGACAAAAAAATCACTATCCTTAATATATGGAGAGCTTTTACAAATTAACAGAAAATTGGGAAGAAAGAAGAAATACAATTAGCCAAAAAAATATCTGAGAAGATATTCAAGCTCACTGAGAGCAATTATAAATTTTTTAAATGAGAAGTTTTCTTGCAAAATTATAAAAAATTGATATCATGTAATGAGGTAAAATTGTAAGGAAATAGTCCACTTCATATACACATTAAAATGTGATGTAATCTATTTGCAAGATAATCTAGCAATATCCATCAAAATGCAGACCCTATAAATAATCTGTTACCAAAAGACATTGCTCCTGTCAAGGAGCTTAGCTTAATGAGGAAAATAGACATTATATAAATTGAAATTGTGTGGAAACTGCTGTATATCTTAGTGTGGGAGGCTTTCTGATGAATTGATTATTTAAGCTGAAATTTAAAAAAAACACAAGTAGGAGTCAGCCAACCACAGGAAGGGGCGAGAATATTCCAAACAGAGGGAAAGCATGTACAAAAGCCTCCAAGCAGAAGTGAACAAGGAATTTGAAGGAACTGAAAGAAATCCAGTGTGACTAAAGGGAAAGTAAGGACCTAAGTAGCACTAGATGAGGCTGAAGAAGCAGGAAAAGCACTCCAGGAGGCCTCAGTATAGTTTATTTTGAGGTCAGTGAGTGAGGTCTTAAACTGGGAGTTGCAAGATAAGGCTTGGATTTTTAAAAGATGCTGAATCACCATTACAATACAATTTTCTATTACTAAGTTGCCCTAAAGTTGTGACAACTAGTTAGCATAAAACTTTGAATATAACTATACAGTCTGGTCATACATTATTTGTGAAACATCATATTTTCCTTTAAATTCTTCAGCCCTATTAAACAAAAATAGGTATGAAACAGTTAACTATTATAATTTGTTATTTCTGTTATAAATTTAAAGTTCCCTCAAAAGTTCATAATTTTTATAAAATGTAGGAAGCATTTGAAATATTAGCTTATTTTCTTCATATAAAATAACTTTGAGCTCTGTCATTACTATGCCTAATCAATTCTTACTAGGCAGGCCAGACAAAACATGAAATCAGGATAATGGGCAATTTTTAGTAGAAATAAGTAACTTTCTCCCTCTTCAAAACCCTCTATCTTGAAAAATGACAAAAGGTATAGATGACCTCTTAGGCTATCTAGCAAACACCTTCTGAAAGGTTTGATATGGCTTTTAAGTTTTATTACTGCTCCAAAGAAAAGTAATAGACAAACAGAAGTATATATTCACTTCAGAGAGAAACATATTGTAAAAGCAGTAAACTGGTTCTTATAAAACTGTATTTGGGAGATTTTGTGGATAGCTGACAAATATAATTAATAATTCCCCCAAAAAGGTGATAGAACTTTGTGATCTGTTAAAATATGTATTCAAAACCAGTGCATTAAAAAAATTTTCTCTCTAGATTATCCATATTCTTGTCCCATGCCTTATTCTGCACACCTCCAACAGACTGATCATCCTAAACCACTTACAGGGTCACATCCCTTCCTTCAGCAAGATGTCAATGATTCCTCACTGCTTTCAAAACACAGTCTGGACTTTTCAGTCTGACTTTTAAGGCCCTGCTATCTGGCTACCTACATATCTTTCAAATATTATAAGTTTTATCTTTCCAACATAAATCTTATGCTCAATTAATTTCATTTTAAAACCTGATAACCAACCAGGGTGCTGTCAGCTATGAAAATTCCACCCATCTCTCAAGGCCAGATATTTCATTTCCACCATTTCATCTCCTCCTCTCATCACTAATTAGAAGTGAATCCTCTCTATACCAGAGCATTTCCTTTGTATCATTCATATCACATTTACTACATACTATAAGGAACTGCATGATTTTTCACTCTAGATAGTATCCTAAAGATCAATTCTGCACAGCACTGAACATGGCAGGAAGACCAGAAGTGTTTATTAAATAATGAAAGTTTTTTCTCAAGTTTAAAATTTTCAGATATTCAGAAAAAAAAGAAAATACCCTGAACTCCTTTGAAGTTTATGGATGGCCAAAGACAGTCATACCTGATAAATCATGCATTTTTTGAGGGGCAAAAAAAAAATGTTGGAGTTCTCTTGATATCTCTGTGAGTCTGCTACTATTTTCATAACATCCATTAAGAGTGTTTTTATACAACATATAAACATAAATTAACATTTTGTAAACCTTAAATTTACACTCTTACAACTGTGTAAATATGCCAAATATATTCATTAAAAAAAAGTGGTTTCTTTTTTACATAGATAATTTTCTCTTATCAAAACTTTTAAAAATCCCTCACATCATAAGCCTGTAATAAAATAGCAAAGAAGGCACCAAGGCCAGTCCTTAATATTACACATCGTATTTGTAAGCAGAGGGCTCCCACCCACCAAATAACCACCACAAAATCTTTCTTCAATTCAGACATTAAAGATTCCTAACAAAATCTAGGTCTTGAATAATAAACTAGATTTATATATATTGTTGAAGGAATATTGAATGAACTGGTGAAATCCATTTTCCTCCCATCTGAAACAGCCGAATTTAAGTGAAGTTCCCCACCAACTTTTGTGGGGAACACCATGAAATTTAAGTTATCTTCTTTTAATTATTTTATTATCAAATACAAGTTTTCAACGATTTTTTTCAAAAAATTCAAAATTGCAAACATAAAATTGCAAACATATCAAATATAGATACAAAAATTATCAAACACAAATTATCTTCTTTTGAAAGTGTAATAATATCATGCCTGAGGAAATGTAATAATATTTATAGGAAATTTATATCTACATTTTGAATCAATGTTTTCTGCTACAGTTCTTACATTTGGTGGGGAATAAATGCTGAAAAGTCAACATAAAGATTTTCAATCACACCATACATCCTTTTGTTCATATATTCAGTGACTTTAAAACTGGTTGCCAAATGTCTAAGAATCTAGAGGACAGGGAAGATGTTACGGGTTGAACTTTGCACCTTCCCCCAATTTATATGTTGGAAGTCCTAATCCCCAGTCCCTTGGAATGTTACCTTATTTGGAAATAGAGTTGTTACAGATATAATTGGTTAAATTAAGATAAGGTCATACAGAAGTGGGTCCTTAACCTAACATAACTGATGTCCTTATAAAAGGGGGAAATTTGGACAAAGACAAGCATACAGGGAGAATAACAAGTGAATACGAAGGCAGAGATCTATAAGCCAGGGAATACCGAAGATGGCCAGCACCCCCAGAAGTTGAGAGGCATACAGATTTTCTCTACAGTCCTCAGAAGGAACCAACCCTGATTTTGGACTTCAAGCCTCCAGAACTGTGAGATGATAAACTTCTGTTGTTCAGAATATCCAGTTTATGATACTTCATTATAGTATCTCTAGGAAATTAATACAGAAGCCTTCCTTAAAGAATTCTGGCTATGTTGAGACGTGAAAATGAAGTAGGAATTAGCTGAAGAGAATGGAGAAAAGAACATTCCATGAGTTTGGGAATAGTTTGCTCAAGGACAGAAAAGAAAGGCAATGAATGTAATGGTTGAGAATAGGGGTAGGCAAACCAGAGCAAATCTGGCCCACCACCTGTTCTTGTTTGGAACACATCATGCTCATTCATCTATTCTATATGGCTGCTTTCATGCTACAGTGACAGAGCAGTTGCAACAGAGACCACATGGCACACAAAGCCTAAACTAAAATGTACTATCTGGTCCTTTAGAAAGTTTGCCAATCCTTGTTAAAGCAAAAAGTAAAGTTAGACTTCCTGGCTTTCTCACTCAGCTTTGTGAACATGAGAAACTTATTTAGCTTCTCTGTGCCTCATTATCTTCATTTATAAAATGGGAATAAAAACAAAATCTCTCCCACAACGTTGTGAAAATAAAATGTATTAATACATGCCAAGTGCTTAGAAAGTCAGAGGTAAATAAGTAAATCTATATATATTTGTGATTATCATCACTATTAAGTTTTGAGGAACCAAAGTTGAGACTCAGGCAAATTTAAGATATATAATTCTTTGCTATTTCGTTGTCATTTGCAAATGTGAGGAACCAAAGTCGACTAACGCAAGGAAGACAGAGGTTTGAGATAGGGCTGAAGAGCTAAATATGGGACAAACCATTTTTGGTAGGTCACATCAAAGCATTTTGGAGTTTATTCTAACATGAATGAAGAGCTTTTGCCATGAGGTTTTAAGTTGGAGTAACATCATCAAAATAGCATATTTTCTCAGAAGAGCAAAATGTGAGCTGACTACAATAATCTCTTTATAAATCCATAACCAAACTATTATTTAACTGCAAAATTTTATAATTTGTTGTATATTTTTGTGCATATTACTGAAATTAATACTTACAACAACTTTGTGAAGTTGATTCAAGTCATGGCATTTTACGAGTAAAATGAAGTGCCTTATTACAATTACAGATAGGTAACAAAATTTACTGATACAAATTTCCCATGCAAATTGTTGTCTAAAGATGTTTTCAGACTTGATGGGATTACTTTGGGTAAATCTTTCATGGGGAAATGTTATCTGATTGCTGTCTTCACTTTTACTCTGTCAGGGTAACCATATAGTTTATCATTTAATCTGAGATACTATTAAGAGAAAAGGAGGGCACAATTAAAAATTATCCCAAGATGACAAGCATAACCCTGCACTGTTGAATATATTCTCACTGAATCTTTGCCAGTTAGAAGGTGGAGATGACATCTCATGAAGCTGAACTGCCAAGAAGTCATCCTAATGGATGAGGCACTCTGAGGGACTGCACATCAATGGACCTCAGCCTAAAGCCCAGCAGTGCTAACAACAAGCCAATAGGGACTAAAAAGAAATAGACACACTTGTTGACTGTTGACTGTAAGGTTTAAACTGCTTACCTCCATGACATCTTCTAAAGTCTCTTCTGCATCTGCTTTCTCTGTCATCAGTTTGGCTGCCTTAAAATAAGTTTTCATAAGTAGATAACCTTTTTTTGCCCCATTCCAGTACGATCGAGGAATTTCCACTAGGCCATACCCTAACAACAACACAAGAAGAAACAGACCCCAGGTATTTGCAGCAGCTATCCCAATAGTCTGAAGTTGGTTCCTAAGAAAGAGAAAACACACGCAGATAGCTGTGATAGATAAGTTTTTCTGACAAAAATGTAAAATAAAACTACCTAGTGTTAAACAGTTTCTCAGCAAACTGCCCTAAAGGATGGCTAGGATTTATATGAAAAAATTAAGCCTACAAATCCACAGCTACCCTTTTGGTAACACCAGATAATCTGTGTGTTTTATTGGGAGGTTAGATAATTTTCATTAGTTGCCTTCATACTATTAACCAAGAGAAGACTGAAAAATTTTTAAAGCCTGAAAAAAATTTAACTTGTGTTGGGGCAGATCTACGCAAATCTCAGGATTACAACAGTGAAGGTTATCACTACTGTTTATTAGTCCTCTAATAGCTATATTTAAAGACGTTATTCTGTATTTTCCTTTTTAGTAATATGGATTATTCAGATATTCTTTTGGGGGAATTTGTAAAACACGTAACTTGATATGTTTCTCGATGAAATGCCTATTTACCTGCATAGAGGATATAAAAATTAATTTAAAAAAAAGGAAATATACACAGAATCAATGTTAAGAAATGACTTTTCTTACCATTCTAAGTGCAAACGTGGGTTTACAGCTACATAAATTAAAAATGCTCCAAAAATCAGCAAATAGGTGCCATAATAGATTGCATTCTCAATAAGTGCAGTTTTTATCTTTCCAGTGATGGAAAACCCTCCTGATCTTGCATATGATTGCATAAAAGGTAACAGAATCCTAGTTGGAAGGAAAAAATTATGATTAAAAATCAATTAATATGTCTATATAATCTCAAAATACCAGAAATATTTGAGTCTCAATTTTAATGCATAGATCTTTTCACAAATATGTATGACTAATTATTAATATGGAATATACTATAATAGGTGATCAATTATTTTTATAATATCAAATTTTGGGAAGAGCAAAGCTCATTCCTGGGAGCAAAAGAGGCTGCAATGACCAGCAGAGCGAGAAAAAGAGTCTGAGTGACTAACAATGAATCTAAAAAAGGCTTTAAATCCTATATGAAGAGTTTGGACTGCATCCAAACAAAAACCATTTTCTTTAACAAAAAGGAAACACAATCAAATTTTAGTTTTCTAAATGCTGATAAGGTTTCAGCATGCAGAATGGACCAAAAGGGAACAACATGGAACTATTTGGGAGAGGGTTAGGGATGGTGTGGTAGAAACAGGAGAGGAGAAGATTGGTTGTCAATATAATACTGACATTGAAGTACCTAGAACACAGCCCAAAGTAGCTGCACAGAAAGGTATCTAGCTTCAGAGTTCAGGAGAGAGGATTAGAAATACAGATTCAGAACTCAAAACTGTATCAATGGTACTGAAATAACATGATGAGAAGGGTGACTATATAGAATGAGAAGGAAAGAACTGAGGTTGTCCCTTGAGAAATACCATCTTCTAAAGGAGGTAGAGAAACATCAGGAGGAGAAGCCAGAAAAGGAGATTGAAGTAGAGAGGCACGGAAGGAAATTAAGGAGCACATGGAGTAAAAACTAGGAGAAGAAAAGTGTTTCAAAGTGGAGAAAGAAAACAATATAATCAAATGCTGCTAAGAGGTCAAACAAATTAAGAACCTGTAGGCATGAGTGAAGAAGTGGGAGTAGACAACAGGGTTTAATGGACTGAGGAGAGAGTAAGCAGTGAGCAGAAGGAGACACCAAATGTAGACAATTTATTTAAGAAGTTTGGCTGGATGGATTAAAGTATGGAATATTCATAAAATGTATTATTTTACAGAAATGAAAAAATAAATACTGATACACACAATATAGATGAATCTTCTAAATAGATGAGTAAAAAAAGAGATGCAAAAAAGTACATAATTGTAGAGCTCCATGTGAATAAAGTTCAAAAACAGGCAAAATTAATCTAGAGTGATTCAATCACTCTAGAACTCTAGATTAGTGATTCTATAGTCAAAATCATGGTTACTCTCAAGGAGGGTAATGCTAGGGAGAAGGGTATGAGGGAAGCTTCTGAGGATACTGTTAATGTTCTATAATATCATCTGAGTACTGGTTATATGGGCATATTCACCATGAAAGAGTAAAACTAAACACAATCTGTGCACTTTTCTGTACTAACTTATACTTCAATAAAATTAAAAAGTCCGCCCCCTAAACCCTCACCAAAAAAAAAAAAAAAAAAATTAGCTGTGATGAGAAGTAGATCATTGAGGTGGAAGCTAGAGAGGTGGAAAGGGTTGAGATTTGAAAGACTAATTTCTTTTTTACAGATGAGAGAATCATGCATGCTTTGTTGCAACTGGAAGTTTTAAGTATAGGTAACAAGAGCTGAAGGGATGAATCTGTATTTCAGGAAGTGGGATTAACTTTAAGAGAGTCTTCCCACTTTGAAGGGAAGAAAGAAAAGATGGGTAGGTAAGTTTGTTGGTGAGAAGCTGAAAGTGCTGTCATCTGATGATGTGAATTTTCACTGTGAGGGAGAAAGTAAAGTCATCTCAAGGAGAGAAGGTGATTATTTCTAGGATGTAAGAGGGTGGGTGGGGAGAGAGAGAAAGTACATGCTGCAAGAGTGAGCACACACAAGCCACAAAGGGAACTGCAGAGGTTTGAAGTGATTGGAAAGATTTGTTCTGGAGAATGAAGACACTCCAACTAGAGACACAAAGGAGGAAAGGCTGGCAGTGTTGAGGGCCCCATTCAGTTGCACATAGATTTACAGGGGTACCACTCTGCTGTGTGTGTATGGTTTTTTTGGTTTTCTTTTTGTAGGAATGTTGACTCCTTTCAGTTTTAGAGCTCAACTGCCTGCAGAATATCTAAAATGCTCAAAAGGCAGTGGGTAAGGTCTGAGTCTGGAGAACAGCAGAAAGAGCTATAGTAAATATAAAGAAAAATACAGAATGCCTCAGGTGAAGGAAACCATGACTATAATCAAAGCTATGTAGGGAGAGTTAGATAAGATGACCAAAGATGGGACCCAGGGAACACCAACATTTAGGAAGTGGGTCACAGAAAGGCAGCACATGAAGGAAATTCAGAAGGTTGGGCTAAGCAGATAGAAAGAAACCCAGGGAATAATGGTAACATTAGCAATAGCAATTTTATACTGGGACTGGAAGAAGACTGAATTGAAGGTCAAGAGATAAGACATAACTGGAAGGCAACTGTGACTAGGAAAAATTTTTACTTTGTTTTCTATTTCTTGTTTGTTTTTGTCCCTTTATTATTTTAAGATGGCAGAGATTTAAATGACCAGAAAGAAAGAGGATATAGATTTAAGGGAAAAAAATAAGTGACACTTGAAAAAATTCCAAAATATGACGGCTCACTGAAAAAAAAAAAATCATGTTTTTTTTTCACTTAGCCATCATCTAAAAAATTGTATCCTTCATTATCACTTACCATGTTAAAAACTGTGATGTCCAATATACTACCCTCCAGAATATCGGCATGATTCCATCAGGAATGTAACTCCATGGCTTAAAACATGGATGTTGGCTATTAAATAACAATGTGAAGCCAATTAATCATAATTATGACTTTAAATCAACTATATAATTAATTTGTGCATGGCAAAGTTCATTTACATTCAAATGTTAAATTACTGACTCTAACTTGCAAAATTTCGTAGAAAACTTAAAATTCAAAGCTGTCAAACTAAAAAAACACATGCAAAGAGAACAAAACAATTTGTTCAAGAGAGGAATGTCATCTAAATTTCCAAGTTTCAGTGTATTTTTAGCCACTGAGTAAATAGAGGATATAATGGTCACCTAAAAAATTAATAATTTGACTCTTTAAAAAGCAAATACATGATGAAATTAAATCTCTGATTTGATTGGCTTTAAAACTGATGATTGACTTTAAAATACATACATTTGTGGTGTTGGTGTTTGGGCAGAGGAGAAAAATCTTAGGTTATTAATTCCTGGAAAATGGAACACTAACTAATCAGTTACTATAGCATAGCTCCTAAGACGATAGATGACATCATTTTCACATAATTCTGTTTGAATTTTCTTAAAATACATGTATCTGACCATAGATTCTTCCATTCACAGTCAGTCTTTCTAGACAGTAAGGCTATCCTTTAGCCCAGGGGCTTCCAACAACCCATAAATGCTGCTGATCACATTTTTAATGGTGTTTCAAATGGAGTAACATTCACATTTTAAATTCACCCTTATTCAGAGTAGATTTTTAAAAATAAATAAAAACTGCATAAAGAAGCATGTAAATACCACCTACAGCATCAATAACAGCTAAAGTCAACATTCACTATTTTTTCCTTGGAAATTTGATATATTGAATTCAATATACCCTTTCACTAATTTGAACTCAGTCTAATATTATAATGACCTCAAAGGATGTGCAATATTCTCATTTCATAGATAATATCTCCTTTTCCTTTATTGCAACCTTGTAAATTAGGCAAGAGAGAAAATGCATGCCCCTTTTTTAAGATTGGAAAGAGGTTAAGAGAAAAATAGCTTTTGGAAGTCTCATACTTAGTAAGGGTTGTAGAAACAGGACTGAAAAATCCAGTCTTCTCTAGGTTTCTCAATAGCATCCACTGAAATGCCTTGTGCACACAAAAAAACCTATAATTTACTTAAGATTTAAATTTAATAGAATACAAGATTATTAAGTCTACTAGCAAAGAATGGAGATGGGATGGGGGTAGAATGAGCAGAGAATGAAGATAAACTTTTATAAATATAAAATCTAGACAGTAAAAACAATTTTTAAACAATTTGTCCCTTACAATATTAAAACAAAGAAGGAAGAAAATACCTTGGAACTGGAGTAGCAGTTGCATACAATCCTGTAATGTTGCTATTTTCAGGAGGGCTTGAGTTTGCAGCTGCATGCTTGCACCGGTTGTATATTGTCTAAACAACAATGAATGGTTTAAAAATGAAAATTAAAAGGTTACCAAGTACTTAAGGGATATTGGAGTATATCAACCTATCTACCTAAAATTACCTTTCTAACTATGCTTTTTAATGGTCAAGTTTATATAGTAACACTTAAATTCAAAATATAACCTTACATAATTTAGCTATCTTAAGAACATATCTCAAACATGCTGTATGATTACAATTGCCTTTTAAATTGTGAATCAGTTTCACCTCTTACCGTACTAACATCCAGAGGTAGAATGAAGACAATAAGAAAGCAGAGATACCAAGCTAGCAGTGTCCCAACAATTACAAGTCTATGCTGTTTCTTAAAGTCTCCATATCGATGAAGAAGGAATAATGCCAGAAAAAAGACAAAAACAATCTCGAGTCCCAAAGCTGCACCACTCATTATTGAATGTTCACTTTGACTAACCAAAGTAATTCACGTACAAGTCTGGACCATATCTGTCAACTAGAAAAAAAAAAAGCAATATTAACATAGGAAATAACTACTTGGAAATTTCCTAAATATTTGTTTACCAATGTATTGACACATTCTTCAGAAAACTGCCAGGTTTTACAATGGACTATGAATAAAAGGAAAAAGATAATTCTTACTCTCAACTACTTACATTTTACTTTTTTAAAGCATATCTTAAAAAGTTCACATCAATTGTATTTTCAGGAAAAAATTTATTTTAACAAAACTTACTACATATGCTCTAAAAATGTTACAAGAATATTAGATGTGAACAGTTTCAGTAAAATGTCATTTGCAGCTTGTTCAAAACTAGTTATAAAATGAACAAGGTATGAGTAATTTAACAGGCTAATGTTAAATTTATATAAGAAACACCCTTATGTAAAATACCACAAATATCACATTTAATAAACTATTTACTATTTCTTTATGTAGTTGAAGTAGTTTCTTTCCATTCCTCTGTCAATTTCAAGCAATATTTTCATTTTTCTTAAATATCTAAAATTGAACCCCTTTCATCACTATCACCATATCCTGCTATATTTTTCTTTAAAGCTCTTTACTTACATGTATATAATAATGTATATTCTTCGTATTTTTATTGTCTCCCTGAATCACCACATCCAATACACAGACTCCTGGAGAGCAGAAACTTGACTGTTTTATTCAGTACTATACTACAAATCTCTAATATAGTGTCTGGCATAAAGTAGATATTCAAAAAATACTTGTCGAATAAATAAAAATCATTACTGTATACTTTAGTATATACACAATTTTTTATTACCGCTGACTTCAAAGGCAATATAAAACTCTTGTTATGGTCTCCCAAATTGATTTTACAAATACTTACTACAACTTAAAAGGCTATTAAAACTGCTCATTACTAACTACTACTCCATAACTCAAATTTCATATTCTATGAAAAAACTTATACCACCACAATAAAAGTCAAATTTATTTTTAGGCCAAAAATAGATTAAGTGATTAGGTGATGGCTCAATGTAGATTATGCTGATGAAAAAACCATTACCATCTCCAAGATCCAACTTTTAAAAAAATATTATTCAATGTGAATTTAAATGTAACACAATTGTTGTCTGAAAACCCATTTATGGTTTGACCACAGATACTTATTTGCCTGAAGGTATCTAGTCCAAGGAATATGACAGTCATAGAAAAAAGACTGAGTATCAGAGCTTACCAAGGAAATGCTAAATGAAGTGTGGCCGTAGGACATGAGGGAATGTTATTAAGTATAAGATATTTGTTAGGATTACTTAATAACATTAAAAACTTACCATAACCAGTTGAGTCACACATACTTAGCTAATACGCATAAAAAAGAATAAGACAACAATATGAAGACATCAATAGGTGGTAAAATTATGCACATAAGCAAACAAAATAAGTTATAAACTTGCCACTAGCTATTAATATTTTTGTACAATGATTTTTGTCAACACTTTTAAAATGCAAGTGATTAACAAAATTAGGGATCCTCTATTCTAGTAATAAAGAAATTATTTGATTACACCTCTTCCTATACTCAATGTAATAGTCTCCTATTGCTGTTATAAACTATTACTGTAAACTTAGTGGCTTAAAACAACACCAGGTATTTGATAGCTTCTGTGGATCAGAACCCGGTATTTCATAGCTTCTGTGCATCAGATGTCCAGGCACATTGTGTGTCTTGACAATGGGTTTCAGCCCCAGGCAAGTTCGCTATGGATTCAATGTGACCAAAGAAAATGACAGCAAAATGCTCTTGGGGTGAAAGGATTATACCCAACTTTATTTTCAGGTGGCAGGTCAGTCACTAGAATCTCATTCATTCAGAGCAAGTCTGCAAGCAGCAAGCCGGTCGGTCTCTGTCTCTGAGCCCCTCTGTCTGCACAGCCGTCCCACACAGCTGTCCTTTGGGTCTCTCTGCACAGTCGTCCCGCATAGCCATCCTCTGGGCCTCTGGCCTTGGCACTGCCACCACTCCAGCCTCTGCTCTGCTCTCCTGCAGCCCTACCACCGTGTCGCGCCCAGAGTACTGGGCAGAGCTCTTTTTATAGAGTCAACAGCCATGTATTGCCATTCTTTAAAGCTCTTTACTTACATGTATATAATAATGTATATTCTTCGTATTTTTATTGTCTCCCTGAATCACCACATCCAATACACAGACTCCTGGAGAGCAGAAACTTGACTGTTTTATTCAGTACTATACTACAAATCTCTAATATAGTGTCTGGCATAAAGTAGATATTCAAAAAATACTTGTCGAATAAATAAAAATCATTACTGTATACTTTAGTATATACACAATTTTTTATTACTGCTGACTTCAAAGGCAATATAAAACTCTTGTTATGGTCTCCCAAATTGATTTTACAAATACTTACTACAACTTAAAAGGCTATTAAAACTGCTCATTACTAACTACTACTCCATAACTCAAATTTCATATTCTATGAAAAAACTTATACCACCACAATAAAAGTCAAATTTATTTTTAGGCCAAAAATAGATTAAGTGATTAGGTGATGGCTCAATGTAGATTATGCTGATGAAAAAACCATTACCATCTCCAAGATCCAACTTTTAAAAAAATATTATTCAATGTGAATTTAAATGTAACACAATTGTTGTCTGAAAACCCATTTATGGTTTGACCACAGATACTTATTTGCCTGAAGGTATCTAGTCCAAGGAATATGACAGTCATAGAAAAAAGACTGAGTATCAGAGCTTACCAAGGAAATGCTAAATGAAGTGTGGCCGTAGGACATGAGGGAATGTTATTAAGTATAAGATATTTGTTAGGATTACTTAATAACATTAAAAACTTACCATAACCAGTTGAGTCACACATACTTAGCTAATACGCATAAAAAAGAATAAGACAACAATATGAAGACATCAATAGGTGGTAAAATTATGCACATAAGCAAACAAAATAAGTTATAAACTTGCCACTAGCTATTAATATTTTTGTACAATGATTTTTGTCAACACTTTTAAAATGCAAGTGATTAACAAAATTAGGGATCCTCTATTCTAGTAATAAAGAAATTATTTGATTACACCTCTTCCTATACTCAATGTAATAGTCTCCTATTGCTGTTATAAACTATTACTGTAAACTTAGTGGCTTAAAACAACACCAGGTATTTGATAGCTTCTGTGGATCAGAACCCGGTATTTCATAGCTTCTGTGCATCAGATGTCCAGGCACATTGTGTGTCTTGACAATGGGTTTCAGCCCCAGGCAAGTTCGCTATGGATTCAATGTGACCAAAGAAAATGACAGCAAAATGCTCTTGGGGTGAAAGGATTATACCCAACTTTATTTTCAGGTGGCAGGTCAGTCACTAGAATCCCATTCATTCAGAGCAAGTCTGCAAGCAGCAAGCCGGTCGGTCTCTGTCTCTGAGCCCCTCTGTCTGCACAGCCGTCCCACACAGCTGTCCTTTGGGTCTCTCTGCACAGTCGTCCCGCATAGCCATCCTCTGGGCCTCTGGCCTTGGCACTGCCACCACTCCAGCCTCTGCTCTGCTCTCCTGCAGCCCTACCACCGTGTCGCGCCCAGAGTACTGGGCAGAGCTCTTTTTATAGAGTCAACAGCCATGTATTGCCCAGAGGTGTGCAGTGAGCTAGTCAACCACAGCCAGGTGAGAATCCTGGCCACAGAAACTCTCATTTTATCCACGTTGTGGCTCAACTGTATTCTCAAGATCAAAATCAAGGTATCAGTAGTTTGTGTTCTTCCGTGGAGACTCTGGGTAAGAATCCATTTCTAAATTCATCCAGTCTGTTGGTTATGGAACTGAGATCCCCAGTTCCACTGGCTGTTAGCTGGCATTTTCCCTTAGCTCTAGAGGTCTCTTCCCAGTCTTTGCATGTGACCCTGTATATTTCAGAGCCAGCAAAGTCTTGTCAAATACTTTTCATACTTGAAATCTTGGAATTTCTCTGTCACCCTCAGCTGGGAGAGAGCTCTGCTCTTCAGGGCTTATATGATCTTATTGGGCCCACCTGGGTAATCTAGTCAAATTACTGGTTCCAGGGATTAAGGAGTAGATAACTTTAGAGTCTGTTATTCTGTTAATGACACCATCTGTTTTTGCTCAAGCTGAACTCTTGCCTTGTTATGACACAAGGTTAAGCCTTAGGCTAGAGTACTTTAACCTGTGTTTTAGGATTTTACTCTTTTATTCTCAATGAAAGTCTCTATCTTTGACCTGGTACCTATATACAAAGTGAGGGATTGCTTTTTTACAGTCCAGAATGTTAGCATTTTCCAAGGTTACTTACGAATTCCTGTGGACAAAATGAAAGTTCCTGCAGCCAGGATTCTCACCTGGCCCTAGCTGGCTAGCTCACTACAACATGGGTGGGCAATACGTTGCTATTGACTCTATATAAAGAGCTCCACCCAGTGCTCTGGGTGACACAGGGCACAGCTGCAAGGCTGCAGGAGAGCAGAGCAGAGGCTAGAGTGGTGGTAGCGCCAAGGACAGAGGCCCAGAGGAAGGGACTGGCATGCTGCATGCAGCCTCGCTCTGAGTGAACAGGATTTTAGTGACTGACCTGCCACCATGGAAATCAAGTTGGGTATATAACCCTACGTTTTGCTGTCATTTTCTTTGGTCACACTGAATCCATAGCAAACTTGCCCAGGCCTGAAACCCATTGGCAAGACAATTCCTATAGATTGTTTTGGTTTTGTCAACTGAACAATTTATCTGTTCAAAGCTAGGGATACCATATTATACACCTGACTCAATTATTAGTATGTCAAATTCATAAAATAAACCTTCACTTTATCCACATATACCAATAAAAATATAGGTCTTCCAAAGATAATGATAATTCTCATGTTTAAAGATTCAGGTATAGGGAGATGTGGATAAAGTGAAGGTTTCTTCAGCCAGGATTCTCACCTGGCCCTGGTTGGCTAGCTCACTACACACGTGTGGGCAATACATCGTTATTGACTCTATATAAAGAGCTCCGTCCAGTGCTCTGGGCGACACAGTAGCACAGCTGCAGGAGAGCAGAGATGAGAATGGAGTGGTGGCAGTGCCGATGACAAAGACTGAGATGGCTGTGACCGTAGAGAGGCCCAGAGGCAGAGACCAGCTTGCTGCATGCAGACTCATTCTGAGTGGATGGGATTCTAGTAATTGACCTGCTACCAAAGTTGAATATAAACCCTTTCACCCCAAAAATGTTCTATTGTCATTTATTTGGTCTCACTGAATCCATAGTGAACTTGTCTGGGGCTGAAACCCATTGGCAAGACAGGAGAATTCAGCTTAGGATACAGATAGAATACCACAAGAGAATGTGGTATTCCACTCCAAAAATGTGAGGAAGTCTTTTTTTTTTGTAGTGATCTTCAAAAAATGATCCGAGTTCGCAATTTGACCAGGTGAACTAAATTCCAAAGTCTGATAAGCCATTCCAAGGGAAGATAAGACACATACAAGCTGTTTCATCTTCAGCAAGGCATGAAAGTAAGAGGCAGCAACCATGTAAACAGAAGGTAAGAAGAAAGCAACTGGAATGTAATGGATTCTTAAAAGAGTTCAGGTAAAGAGATTGCTTTTTTAAGACTTAGCTTGGTAATTAGATAATACAATCCTTCCTAATAACAAAATATTTTTTGAAAAAGGAACAGCTAACATTTACTATGAGTTTACCAGATTCCAAGCATTGTACTAGTATTTAACATGCTTTATCAAATTAGACCCCACAACCCAGTAAGAAAGGACTGTTAGTGTCCTTGTTTAATAGAGGAGAAAATGGCACAGAGTGGGTAGGTAATCTGTCACATTCCCACAGCTAGTAAGTGGCAAAGCAGGGATTCAAACTGAGGCATTATGACTACAGAGACTGCCTCACAATTAGGATTCTGTACAATCTCTTTTCCAGTCCAGATATACTTTCTTAATGAACTTTATTCTTTTAATCATTGCTTTTGTTCAGTTTTCACAGTGAACAAATAAGAACATTCTCCTATTAATAATCCCTTTACATATATCAAGATAGAATGTAAGGAAGTCATGTTTAAAATAGAATTTAACTAAGTCTTTTCACCTTGCAGGTAAGATTGCCAGTACTTAAGGATAATATCTAACTCTAATCTACATGAGAAAAGTAGAAAAGAAAACATAACCCAAATAGAATTGGGAAAGAACCCTTCTGTTCTTACCCCAATCTGTCCATCACAGAGAACATTAAACTGCAGAGATCTAAAGATTTACTTTAAAATTAATGGAGGGAAAAGGATCTTCTTGAAATTTGACTGGAAGATAGAAACTTTTTGCTATGTAATTGTTCTTAGTCTTTTATTCCTTTAAGCTAAATACACTAAAAAGAAAAATTAATCTTAAGAGTTACTTCATGCTCTGATGGAACTCAGGAAAAAGCACATCACCCTTCAATTTAAACAGAATCTTCCTTGTCATATTTGATTTTCAAAAAGAACACTTATTTACTGCTGAATATAAAACTTATAGTCAAATGTAATTTCCAGTCCCTTTTAGCTCTCTTCCTGTGCCCTGATAATATTGACTATTTTGTCCCTTTGTATGATAAACACTTTCCCAGTTTACAAGATCACTTTGTAAGTCTATCTGAAGCTTCCAAAGAATATTAGAATTACTCAATGTAATGTCATATGCAGATATAAAAGAATTGTAACTCTTTTGTCCTAAATACTGATCTAGTAATTTGGCTTCTATAAATATGGTATACCTTCCCACTAAAATGGGACAGGAGTATACTAAGTAACAGTAATCAAATAAAATTAATCAGCAATATAAAATAATCCACATCAGTAGCAATCACAATGGAGCTCTTGAAAAAACCACACAACAATTTCCTAGTAGCTGACAGTCTCAAGTCTTCAATGGACACAATTCCTTATCTTGAACTGAATCACATGTACCAATAAAAACCTTATTTGTTATATTAAGGGAATAGGCATTATTAGAAGGAATGAAGAAAAACAATCCCAATTCTAGCAAGCTAAAGTATTTGTTTCCAGGGCAAGCCATTAGTGAAATTATCTATTCTAGAACTGAAGATTGATTTTCAAAGGTGACACTCTCTCTTTCAAGTCCCTCACAGGACTTTCTACCCACCAACTCAGATATTTCAAGTATTCTGAGAACTGGAACTGTTGCCTAGCTTTCAGGCAACTACTTGCTAAAGCAAAGTACAAGTATATTTAAGTTTAGTATTATCCTTTCTACTAGACCTTCCTATGTATAAGATCTATGTCTAAAGAGGTCTTTCCCACTTATTATCTCAAAACTTAATTTTCACTTTAAATTTTTTTCTTGTTTATTCTTTCTTTCTCCTCTATTAGCTTATAAGCTCCCTCTGTCTTGTTCATTTACCTGAAGGAGACTCTAACTTACCTTAAACATGTTTTCTCTGAGTTGCAATTTTAAGGAAAAGGATGTAGATGTTAAAGGAAGGCAACTGCTTTCTCTTTAGCCAAAGTAACATCAAGGTAACTTTATGTTAATCAGAATATTGCCTTTAAAAATATTTAACACGTAACCTTAATGAATTGGGAACAGTCAGCCTAGTACTCTTCGCTTAGTTTCAATCAAAACCGACTTGTAAACAGATTGCTTCTTTACCAATTTCACCTACTTTCAGTAACTAACTAAAGGTTCACGAATATCTTTCTTTTGTCAAGAGGTGGTTGCTTTTCAAGCTAATCTCCAAGCCTGAAAGAAACACATACCTTACTTAGCAAGGGAGGTTCAATTCCAGTATAAAGTGAATCATGTTTTTAAAGAAAGAAAGAAGACATGTCATACAGTACACTTAAGTAATATTCTAATATTTTTGTGATGATGCTGACTGCCTCTGAACTTTATAAATCTCCATTTTTATCAGGGCTGGAATTTATTGCTCTTTTCTCTTCCACTGTGTTCTAGGGGCCATAATTACAGCAAAGTTTGCACAATGGATTTCGCATGGTCATCCTACCTGGAATATGGCACACACTACTCTAACCGGCTCCAGACTCTTCCCAGCGGACAGACTAAAAGCTCTTTTTTCAGACTGCAAGGCAACCGGACGCAGCCGGTTGAGGGAAAGCAACGAAACGGCTTTGCTGGTCCCTAGCGTTACACTATAATGCCCTTTGCAAACATATAATCACCTAATTTTTTCCCATGCTGGCATCTGTAAGATTTGTCAAGTTTGCAAGGAGATGCGCAGCTTCCCCAATGCACAACGGAACACTGTATTCTCCTGCTCCCTTAAAATTAAGCCACCGCCTCTCGTTAGAACTGCGCTGTAGTTTACAAAACATTTTCACACACGTTATCTGATTTGGCCCTCAGTATAGGCCTGTGATGAGCGTCGAGGTCATAGATCCTATTTTACAGATGCAGAAAGAATCCTGTCGACAGACCCCGTCCCAAGAGCCGCTCCCTCCCCAGTGGAAGCAGCAGCTTCCTGGCAGAAGGGAGAGCAGGTGTGACGTTCACGGCTCGCAGCCTCTCACCTGGCCGGCGGGCCGGGCTACCACCTCCGCTCAGCAGGGCTTGTGAGCCCTGCGGGCGAGGCCGTTCGGGGTCCCAGGGTCCCTTCTATCTCCGCCTGTGCTGGGCCCCAGACCCCAAGTGCCTCACGCGCTCCCCATCAGTCTCACCGTCCGTTCTCGCCAGACAGCGTCTGGAAAGACCGGGGAACTCCGCGTCCGCCACAGCCGTCCAGCGTCTAACAACCACGCTCCCAGGCGAAGGCGGCAGCAGTCACTAGAAGGCCTGCAGGCTCCGGGGAAAGGAAAACTCGTCCCCAGTCAAGCTGCTGACATTTCCCAGTCAGACAGAGCACCGCCTGTTTCCGCTCCCCCGCCTACCCTACAGCCGCTGGGGCTTGTGGGTGTCTCGAAGGCGGGCTTAGCTGCTAGGAGAGGAAGTCGCTGCGAGCAGGCTGACCTCTGAAGCAGGGCCAAACTACACTTCCCAGCAGGCAGCGCGGCCGCAAAAAAGCGGCTGTGGAGGAGAGCCGGCACGGGAGCCTTGCGCGGGCTCAGAGATGGAACGTTGCTGAAGTTCGCGGGTGTAGCTGCTAGGGGCCGGAGGCTCACGTCTTGAGCAGCTGCGCGTCAAGGCGGGAATCCGGGAGGCGGGCTGCTCTGCAATTAATGCACGCATTTAAAACTCCCGAAGCTGTGGACGCCATGCACAGGTAAGCCGATTACAAAGAGCGGCAGCGTATGAATGGACCCAGTTAATTCTTTTAGGCCTCGAGTATTGTTACTTACTAATATTGTTATTAATGCTGTAATGTGAAGGGTTGTTGAGCTCTTTAGGGAAAGCGTGGATGGATGGATGATGTAGTGCTCTGATCAGCGTGCAGCTATATTGGGCTTTCCTCTGCTGTTTTAAATCGCTGTGTGATCGCCTCCCTCTTTTCTTGTTGCCTCCACTTTAAGAAATTCTTGGAGCCTTGCAACATGAACGTAAATTAAAAAGCCTTTCTCATTTGTTCGGTTTTCTATGTCATTCTGGGAAACTCGCGCTGGTACATACAAAATGCAATTGTTAGTCGCTTTGAAAGTTTTCTAGTGCTTAACTTGCAATTTCATTCAGGCCTACCTTGGAATTTTTTTACGGGTGTACTTTTGGAAGGAACTGGGACTATTGTACATATCTGCAGGAAACACCTCCAGGAGATTCCCGACCAGAGTAGCAACGTTACTACCAGCTTCACGTGGGGATGGGATTCTAGCAAGACTTCTGAATTGCTCTCAGGCATGGGGGTGTCCGCCCTGGAGAAGGAAGAGGTGGACAGTGAGAACATCCCCCAGGAGCTGCTGTCCAACCTGAGCCACCCTCAGAGCCCCCCACGAAAACGGCTGAAGAGCAAAGGGAATGACAAGGACTTTGTGATCGTCCGCAGATCTAAGCTAAATCGAGAGAACTTTCCAGGTAAGGTATGAAGGTAAAACCGTCAGTCACATAAAAGGTGAATTGAACAGTTTTCTTGGTAAACCTTTGTTCAGAGATCTTAGGATGGGGCTCTTTAAAAATTGCCTAATTTTGAAGTTACTTTCCAAAGAAATGGGGCAATTCATTATCATGGAAGTCTACAGGAATCTTAATGGGTGTTTATCTTCTGGTGTACAATGGACTTTTAAGCAATGTGAAATTTTAACCTATGAAAGACCTTCCTGCCTTTTTCCTTAGAAGGGAATCTGCCTGCTCAAAGGCCAGCTCAGTGCCACTAATAAATGAGAATTTAAGCAATGATCTTGTAGGATTCTTTTTGTTCATATTCTGCTGTTCTGTAGCCCTGGTTGAGCTTTTTGCCATAATCATATAAGTTGTCAAAGGACTGCTCAAGTGAATGTTAAATTAACCAGAGGAGGCTTCACTCCCTAGGTCTGCTCCCAAGAGGGATTCTTATGTATGCTCTGTCTCCATTACTGCCAGTATTCCCTGTTGAGTCACCCAACCCCAAAACCTGAGGGTCAGTCAGATTCCCGTCATCTCCCATTATCTAACCAATCATTGAAACTTTTCCTCTTGCCTCCTAAATATTTCTCAAGGTCTCATCATCTCATGCTTAAATATTGGAATGGACTTGTAATTCGAGGCTTATCTTCCCCACGTCAACCCACCAGAGCTTGAGTGGACTGAAATGTAGAACCCCAAGAGTCCTCAAAACCTTAGGGTAAACATTCATTGACCTGGGGTTATCAGTTTTTTTTTTACTAGTAAGTCATTTGAAGCATTAATTCAGCAAATGTTTGCTGAGCACATACAATGTGCTAAGCATTGTTCTAGGTGCTTGGGGATACAGTACTGAGCAAAACAAACATTCCTACCCTCATGGAGCTTCTGTTCTAGACAGGATGCAATAAATATAATAAATCTGGTGCTGTGGCTAAAAAAAAATAGAACAAGCCAAAAGGGATTGGAAGACCTGGGGTGTGACAATGGATTGCAGTTTTAAACAGGGTATTAAGGGAAAACCTCAGGTGGACAGTGAGCTTTTTAAGCAAAGGCATAGAGGCATAAGGGAATGTGTCATGTAGTTATCTTGGAAAAGAGGAGCCCCAGGCAGAGGGACCCATGCAAAGACCTTGAGGCAGAAGTACGTCATGTTTGTTCAGAGAACAAGCCACATTCCAAGAGTGGAATGAGCAAAGGGAAGAATAGTGGGAGATCAGGCTAGAGGTGATGTTGAGCAGAGTTTTGATGACATTTTAAATGATGTGTTGGACTAAATTGCAGGAGGGTCAAGGGTAGAAGCTTAGAAACTTGTTAAGAGGTGTGGGAATGATGATAAAGCAGTAGCCAGATTCGAGATAGATTTTGACATTGATCAGATCCTAGTTAGATGGTGACACTGGCATAGAGTTAGGAGGCTGTTGAAATTGTGGAAGAGGTTAGAGTCTAAAATGAGAGTGGGTAGGTGATGGTGAAGAAGAGACAGATTAGAGGAATAAAAATGAAGTCTTATAGAGTAAAGGCAAATAAGTATATTCCTGAATTCTCCCAACTGGCTTTCTTTGCAGAAGGATTGGTTGGTTGCTTTGTTTTTAGAAAAATCTGGGGTTTTTTTTGGTTTTTGACCCTTTCATTAGAAAAGAGAACCTTCAAGTAATGGTCTAGAAATCTACATCAGGTGCTGGATTAATTGAAAGAGTGTGGTGAAATCAGACATACTGACTTTGAATTCTATTGCTGCCATTTACCAGCCTTGGGAAGTTATTTGAGCTCTTGATGCCTTAGTTCCTTGTGAAATGGAATAGTAATACCCACATCATAGGTTGCTGTGATGATTAAATGAAAGGGTGCATATAAAGCTCTTAGCATGCTGTCCATAACATTTAATTAGTAAACTCAGTTAATTTGAGCAACAGAATTTCTGACACTCATTTGGGAGGCTACTTCACTCATTTTTTTGGTCCTTTAATACTGCTAGTCTGACTCTTTGTGTCGAATTTTTTTCTTCAAAATGTAATGTCATTGCTATTTGCAAGCACTAGCAATTTGGTGCTTGACCAACCAAATGTGAAAGACACTCCCTACTAAATTGAGCAGATTTTGATTTATTTGTCCAGTGCTGATAGCTTTTAACATGGAGTGTGAGTGCTGTATGTCCTTCCACATTCACACACACAGGTGTGTAAATAAAAAAAACCTTAAGGAAGGTACTGTGGAAACAAGACAAAATGAAAGGATGGTTGTTGTCTTCTAGGAATTGCAAGATTGCAAGTCAAATTCAGGAGAAAAGACAACACACAGTAAGAGAAGCTCACAGCAAAAGGTGGCAGCTAGTACTTTAGCAACCAATGAGTAGTTCAGGCAGCGGGTGCTGGCAGAGGCCAGAGGGAGGGAACCCCTTGTGCCAAAATGACCAGAATTTACCAGATGCAGAAGGGCTTTCAAGGTGATTCTCACAGATTGTAGACAATCTTCCTCCTTCCACTCAGCAAAAGGAGAGGCCCTTAGAAAATAGGGAAGGATCTGGAAATGGTTCAGTCAGTGAGTCCAGATTGTTAAAACTGACTTCAAATATATTTGTCTGAAATTTCCTACTACCTAAAAGAGAGGCTGGGAGGGAAACTCACAGTATAGAATTTATGTGCTGGGAATTATACACAATAGGTTGGTTAACTGGTGTGGGGACAGAGAGGTGGAGCTAGTGATGCAGGATGACGGGCAGCTGGTGCAGAGGATTCCCAGTGGGCCTCCAGAGCATCTGGGTCATCATTCCAGGAAGTTTTGTTTGCTGTTGTCAGGACAGGTGGTTAACAATGCTGCCAGGATTAGGGTAGAACAGTCCACACCTGCTTTGCATAGAGATTTGATGACAGTAGCCCTGGGCAGTGAGTTTTTCTTCCTTCTTCACTCAGCAGTCTCTCTGTGTAGGCCCCAAGCCAGACTCACATCTGGCAACTAAATCCTCTTCTTTATGTTGGAAGATTAAAAACTATGTGGCCAAACCAACCAGGACAGGTCTGGTTGGCCCTGCCCTTGGAGTATGTGGAAGGAGTTAGGAGGAAATGGCCCAGTGGTGAGGTCAGTAATGAGCAGAAAGAGGATAACTGCATTTTATTCATGCTCATTAAATGCCTATCCTGGTCCCAGGCTCCCCACCTGCCAGACCCCACAAAGAAAGGATGGTCATGAAAATACTATTGGACTAATTTGTTGATCAGCTCTTCCACGACTGTTGAACTGCTAAAAATTCTAGACCCTACAGTTGTTCTCAGATGGAGACATCAAAGGCTAGAGTGTGCCGATATCCCCAAGGGAACTTGTTCAAAGTGCAAAATTCCTGAGATTCTAATCCAAGAAATCCTACTTTGAACCTGTAAATTTGCTTTTTAATACCCTCAGGCAAACATTTTTCCTCCAATTTTTTTTTTTTTAACCAAGAGGGAATACATGTTACATTGCAATCCCGGGTGTGTACCTGAAACAAATTTCACAAAACTGTATTTCCCCTTACTAAAATAATTCCTATTCTATTCCATTCCATTCTTTAAAAACATTGCTGGTCAAACTAAATTGATTTCATGACTCACCACTGAGTCTCAGCCTGCATCTCCCCAAAGCCACCTCTGTAAGAGAATTTTTTTTATTAAGGTATGATTGATATACACTCTTATGAAGGTTTCACATGAAAAAACAATGTGGTTACTACATTTACCCATATTATCATGTCCCCATCCATACTCCAATGCAGTCAGTGTCCATCAGTGCAGCAAGTTGCCAGAGATCCACTAACCACCTTCTCTGTGATACAGTGTTTTCCCCATGATCCCCCACACCATGCGTACTAAACATAATACCCCTCAGTCCCCTTCTCCCTCCCTCCGCACCTGCCCTCCCACACCCCTCCCCTTTGGTAACCACTAGTTCTTTCTTGGAGTCTCTGAGTCTGCTGCCATTTTGTTCCTTCAGTTTTACTTCATTGTTATACTCCACAAATGAGGCAAATCATTTGGCATTTGTCTTTCTCTGCCTGGCTTATTTCAGTGAGCATAATGTCCTCCAGCTCCATCCACGTTGTTGCAAATGGTAGGATTTGTTTCTTTCTTATGGCTGAATAATATTCCATTGTATATATGTACGACATCTTTATCCATTCATCTACTGATGGATCCTTAGGTTGCTTCCATATCTTGGCTATTGTAAAAAGTGCTGTGATAAACATAGGGGTGCATATGTCTTTTTGAATCTGAGAAGTTGTACTCTTTGGGTATATTCCAAGGATTGGGATTCCAGGGTCAAATGGTATTTCTATTTTTAGGTTTTGAAGAACCTCCATATTGCTTTCCACAATGGTTGAACTAGCTTACATTCCCACCAGCAGTGTAGGAGGGTTCCCCTTTCTCCGCATCCTCACCAGCATTTGTTGTTCTTAGTCTTTTCAATACTGGCCATCCTTATTGGTGTGAGGTGATATCTCATTGTGGTTTTAATTTGCTTTTTCCTTGATGATTAGTGATGTGGGGCATCTTTTCTTGTGTCTGTTGGCCATCTGAATTTCTTCTTTGGAGAACTGTTTCTTCATATCTTCTGCCCATTTGTTAATCAGGTTATTTGCTTTTGGGTGTTGAGGAGTGTAAGTTCTTTATATATTTTGGATGTTAACCCCTTGTCAGATATGTCGTTTACAAATATATTCTCCCATACTGTAGGATGCCTTTTTGTTTTGTTGATAATGTCCTTTGCTGTACAAAAACTTTTTAGTTTGATGTAGTCCCATGAGTTCATTTTTGCTTTTGTTTCCCTTTCTCGAGAAGGTGGGTTGCTCGAGTCTTTATGTATGGATATCTTTCTTTGCTCTATATCTTCCTCTCATTCATTCATTCAGGCAGTATTTATTGACCACCATTCTAGACATTAGGAATACAGCAGTGAACATAACAGGTAAAGACTGCTCTCATTCTCCAAATCCCAGTTTCCAT